CAGGTATTATCGTATGTTTGAGGCTACACAAGATGGTTTGGGAAGAAATGCTCCTATACATTGCATACATGGTTCGCTGCTTGCAGTTGGGGAACTGCTGAGGTGGGTTCGTGATACTTTTTAACCTGCTTTAGGTTGGCATCTGATGCATTATACAGTGGCAACTGACATGTTGGTATTTTGGGTTTTTGAGTTTTTCACTTACATTTAAATTTTGGTGCAACAGAGCTTTCGCTGTAATCCTTGCTTGGTTTTCCCCTAAACATGATTTTAAGTTCCTTACTTCCTTTAATTTTGGACTAATCACTTTTCCTGTGTATTCATGATGTGTAGCATCACGATGCCTAACATCGTGTCTATCACCATGAAGACCTTATTTTACCACTGTGTTCGAGATAGTAGGATATTTTAAACATTTGTCATGGTTGTACTTGAGGGTGGCATTATGTACTTGGGTAAACTGCTATATAGCTGTTAAATGAAACGAGCTGCTCCCGAACTCGGCTCGACTTTTTTGATGAACGAGCCGAGTCGAGTTCATTTAAAGCTCATTTGGTTAACCCGAGCTTTATGTCCATTGCAAATGGAGCTGGAAGAGTCATTGTTGACAATTCTCCTAGCATAGTGCTAATAATGGACTAGATCAAAATGACTCAATTAAATTCTAGTGCTTCTTCTAATTAGTGAAGTCTCTTAGAAGAAAAAAAATATACCAAACGACGCAATGCACCTTGGGTCGCTACGGAAACAGCCTCCTTGTATAATTTCAAGGATAAGGTCTGCGTACAACTGACCCCAGACCCAACCTGTTGGGAATATACTGGGTATGTTGTATATATATAATTGTATATATTGGTTAACCCGAGCTCGGCTCGATAAGACTCGAAAAGATGATTTTTTATAGAATTTTATATAGTTCGGCTCGTCGAAGCTCGATTTTGGCTAGTTAATATTGATAAAACGAGCCGAGCTCGAAGTCAATTATAAGCTCGTTGAGTTAACAAGCTGAGCCGAGCTCGCTCGAGCAACATGAGCTCAAGTTAGTCTCAACTCGTTTACACCCATTGTACCACAAAATGGGAAAAAGAAACTAGGTAAAATATCAGATTTTGCTCGTTTACGGTTGTTTAATAGTACGCGCTTATTAATGGGTTCTTATTGCGTTAAATGTTACATTTTACAGGAATACAGGTGAGTTCATGATGTCTCGATATAGAGAAGTTGCTGAGATTGTCCTTCGGTATCTAGAGCATCGTGATCGGCTTGTCCGTCTCAGCATAACTTCTTTGCTTCCTCGAATTGCCTATTTCCTACGGGACCGTTTTGTGATGAACTATCTGACGGTTAGATGCTTTCCCCTCTGCATGTAACTAAACTTTAGCCCCAGTGGTGTGAATTATTTCGAGATGTGTCAGTTTAGCCAACAAATTTTGTTGTTTTTCACAGATTTGCATGAAGCACATATTTCATGTTCTTAAAATACCTGCGGAAGCTGCTAGCGGGTTCATTGCTCTTGGGGAAATGGCTGGTGCATTGGATGGTGAACTCATCAATTATTTGCCGACAATAACATCTCACTTGCGTGATGCTGTATGAGTTACATCAAAACACTGAATAATAATATATTTTTCCTGGGTATGTATTTGCACTGAATAACACTCTTTGCATTTGGCTTTGCTTCTTCATAGATTGCTCCTCGTAGAGGGCAACCCTCTATGGAGGCTTTGGCGTGCGTTGGGAATCTTGCAAAAGCAATGGGACCTTCTATGGAGCCTCACGTACGAAATCTTCTGGATGTAATGTTTTCCGTTGGATTATCCTCCACCTTAGTGGAAGCCCTTGAGCACATAACTGCCAGGTCTTCAATCTTCACTTTAACATCCTGCATGCAGCTTACTCTGCTTGTCTTAATGAATTGTGAGGCATTGATAGAAAACATTTTTTTTTTCCTCAGCATTCCAACCTTGCTTCCGACCATTCAAGTACGCCTACTTGATTGCATTTCTGGAGTTTTTGCTCGAAACCAACAAGTTCAGTCAAGGCCTTCCAATGGCATTAGTCGGACTACTAGCTCAGCTGCTATGTTTCAAGTATCAGAACTCTGTGGTTCAGCTCTTGTTCAACTTGCTTTACAGACTCTTGCGCGATTCAATTTTAAGGTTGCAGCTTTTTTCACCTTGCGGTTTTTTTTTTTCCTTGTATTATGTGGTTGTGTTTTTGTTCAACTTGCTTTATGGACTCTT